AGGTTGAGTGTCTTAAAACCGCGGAGCGGCCGCAAAAAAAAAACATTGTACCCTACCTCGCCCCCCCCACACCTTATCTCTATCTCTTCACTTCTTGCACTGCCGTTGGTTTTCTTCTTTTATTTTTTTTCACAAAAATCCTAGTGGTTTTGAACCCGGGACCTTCTGAATACTAAGCAGGTGTCTTACCACTAGACCACCAGCGCCACTGAAATTTGTTTTCTTTAATCTTCCTCTTAAGCTACATCTTCGGTTATAATTCCAGAAAAATCTTATTAACTCCACTTGTATTTTATAAAACTTTCGTTGGTTCCGAACCTTGGAACTCCGTGACATTAGGCCGGTATTTTACCAATAGGCTACCAATGCCACGGAAATTTTTTGCCTTTAATCTTCCTCTTATATTACATCTCGCTATATAATTCCATAAAAATTTCATTACAAATAGACTAGTGTTTTCGAACCATGAACCTTATACTTACAACGCCAGTGCCTTACCACTAGACCACCAGAACTGTATGACGTGGCTGTTTGCGATCCTATACATATATACGTATAAGTTATGCCCAAACTCATCCACGAGCCAGTACTTTTATTGCTGATTCTGCAGAATAATGTGTTAAAAATATATAGTAAAACTCGATGTACACACCTTTTTTGTGTATATATACATATATGTATATATACGTGTATTCTATAAACTACAGAATTCTATGTCGCTATGAACGCACAGAAAACAGATCGCACTCTGTATCTAAGCCACGATGCTACTGTCTGTTCACGACCATAGAAAGGGCAATAATCTCTTGCAGGTATAATGGAAGGTGAAGGGACCCCTCTAGCTCTTTTTCTTGAATAGCCATTATTTCATTCTTCTGTCCTTTAGTCAAACGATTCGAAAATCTGAAGGGTGTAACCAGATGTAAGTTTTCCCACTAGAGAACCAAATGATTTTATTCCTTCCATCTGTTTTATGACTCCAGGGTCTGCTAAATTTGTCAAGTGTTACAAACAGAAATGAATTTATTATGCAGAACAACTGTGAAGAACTGGAAAAATATTTTTTTTTTCAGTACGTATCAAAATTAAATATGCTGTATCTAACTCAATTTTTATGATAAATGGATGGAATTGACTTTTTTTGTATCAGCAAAGAACACAGTGTCTCATATTGTAACGCAAGAGTTGAAAACTTTTATACATAGAGTTATACTCTATTTTCAATTTTTTTCTTTTAATTTTGATGCGTACTTCAAAAATTGTTTCCCAGTTCTTCACAGAGTTGTTCTGCATTATAAATTCATTTCTGTTGGTAACACTTGACAAATTTAGCAGTCCCTGGAGTCATAAAACAGATGGAAGCAATAAAATCATTTGGTATTCTGCTAGCACTGCTTACACTCTTCGGATTTTCGAACTGTTTGACTAAAGGACAGAAGAATGAAAGAATGGCTATTCAAGAGGAAGCTAGAGGGGTCCTTTCTTCAGTGCTAAGACCTTCCGTTATAGCTGCAAGAGATTATTGCCCTTTCTAAGGTCGTGAACAGATAGTTGCATCGTGGCTTAGATACAGAGTGCGATCTGTTGTCTGCCTGTTCATAGTGACATCGAATTCTGTAGTTTAATTTCAGCCTATATATACATCAAGCAGAAAACAACAAAAAAGGTATGTGCACCGAATTTTACTATATATTTTTAACACATTAATCTGCAGAATCTGCAATAAAAGTACTGGCTCGTGGATGAGTTTGGGCATAACTCATACATATATTCTTTTTTGCTGTTCATTTGGGTATCCTTTTAATTCCTCTATTATGGTTTTACTCCAGTTTGCCTGGTAATTACTACATTTTAAAATATTTAGGACTGTGCATGCGCTTCCACTTCATTTTTCCTTGGTCCTACAGCCCCAGTGGGCCTAGGCCTATCTCCATGAACTTCTCCGTTCACCTCGACTTTCTAAATCATACATTTCGGTAGGACTCCTTAGGCGGGTTATCAGCTCGTCGCAAGGCCTCTACCGGTACACAAACACAGAAACTAAACATCCATGCCCGGAGTTGGGATTCAAACTCACGATCTCGGGTTCCAAGCGAGCAAAGACAATACATGCCTCAGACTGCTCGGCTACCGTGACCGGCATGCGATTCTACTAGCGAAGTTTAAATTCCCGACTGACCAAAACGGGGTATTTCGGTCAATGAAATAAAAGAAACTAGCGCCACCAGTAAAGCAAAACTTGAACACTCGAAACTAATTCTTCACGAAAAGCCACAAAGCGTCATCCCAAACTTGCTATCACGCAGCTATTTAAACGCTTGAGACCATGCTAAATCAGCGCGAGTTAACAAGAAAAAGTGAAATAAAAACTTAGCGCCATATGTGGAGTAAAACCTGAACACTCGAGACTAAACCCTCATTGAAAGCCACGAAGTGTCAGTCCAACTTTCATATCACGCAGCTATTTAATCACTTGAGACCAAGCAAAATCAGAGCGAGTAACAAGAATAAATGAAATAAAAACTGTAGCGCCATCTGTGGAGTACAACCTGAACACTCGGGACTAAAACCCCACGGAAAGCCACGAAGTGTAGTAAAAACCGTAGGCATCTTTGTTTCTTATTATTTCCCTTATTGGGCTTTGCAAGCCGCTCCTCTGAAGAATTCATTTTATAGGATAGGGCAGGAGTTCACGAGCTTCACGAATGTGGAGAAACTTACAGGGCTGTTCGTATTTATGTTATAAGTCTGTCACTGCATGCACTATTTTGCGTCATGTTTACCCTTCTGCCATCTATTTGTCAGTAGCAAATTACATGCTGGTAGCTCCAGGTCAATGAATAATAATGATAACTGCAATTCAACCTGCAGTCTTTGGCCAATGAATAATTATGAAACTCTGCAGGCTTTGGCCAATGAATAATTATGAAACTCTGCTTTTGCACAGACAAATTCACTAAGTCTCTAGGGAAGAGCTGGGTTATGAGAATTTATTTAATCAGTCTTTGCTCCTCTGTATCCATCCTACAGAGATAATCAGTTCTCCAGCAATGTTACAAGTACTTACAATTACCTTAAAAAATTTCACAAAAGTCATTTCAACAATTCAACAGAATATTCCTTTACTCAAACGTACTGCATTAGTGTATTAGGGATAAGTGTTCTATAAATGTTGATACAAGCGGATTTGGGTAAATTTAAATAAAAAAGTGCTCTGATCCTCATGCTATTTTCTCCTCCCTCTTGTTTCTTCTCTTCTCATTTCAGATATTTTCACAGTCCCATTCTCAGGCACTCTCACTTAGTTTTAAATTGAAATATATATACATTTGACAACATTGAAACGGTCCAATGCATTTGATTGTATGGCCTTGTGCCACTTATGAGCTGTGTTTGAGCAAGTCCATTTTATGATTTGCATAATTTTTTGTCACTCTCTTAGCACTCTTCATAGTCACTATTGTGAGAACCTCAAATCCAGCTTCTAAATGATATTTCATAAGACATTAATTTCCACCCTTACAACAGTCGATATTATAATATAAGAAATTCTCAATTTTTGACATTTGACATAGTCTTCATGCTATTCATATACTTTTCTTACCTGTTTCTAATGAGCTGTATACATCATGAAATTATTCACGAGTTACTGGATCCATTAATTGTCATATTGCCTGAATGCTATGATTGTGCGAATAGCACTCCTGTTTCAAATTTTACAAATCCCATGCTGAAATTTTGGTCTGGAAACAGGCTATTCTGACTAACAGACTGAAGCTGAGATGGCCCAAAAAGAATCCTGAAAATTATAGAAAATGGGGCACTGATGAAGCTGGGATAGGCCCAGGAAGGTGAGAGTGGATATCAGTAACACATTCAAAATAGCAAAAAATGTTATAAAGACTGATCTAATTGTGTGAAATGAATGTAAAGAGCTAAATTTAAAATAAAAACTAACCTAAATGTGGTAGTAAAATTTCATTCATACTTGACATAATAGTTATACCATCATGATTCAGTTTCCAGACATTTGATTTTAAGAAAGTTAGGTGCACCATGTAAAGTTAGGATTGAACTGATTCCTTATAAAGTTTCTGAAGTATACAGTTTCAAGAGCAGACTTTATTACAATCATTAATAGTATATAAGGGGTATAGATGGATATGGTTATGACCAATTTCAAGGTAACAATCTCAGTCAGGGTAAGTGGTATTCTGGTTGAAATTAGAAGAAAACCCCAAATGAGGGCTCCTTTTTCCAGTGGTACAGAGTGGTATATCATATGGAACCATTTTCTAGTAAGATACAAAACAAGCATAGATTTGTTAACCTTCTGAAGCACAGATTCTTTCAAACTCCATGGAGCTGAGCCCTTCTTCAGAAGCAACCAGTTGCGCAGCTACTCAAGAACTTCCCAGCATTTTATGGAAGCTGAAGATTCATTACCGTGTTCACAAGAGCCCTCCACTGGAATCTATCCTGAGCCACATCAATCCAATACATACCATCCCATCCTATCTCTCTTAGATTAATTTTAATATCACCACCCACCTACGTCTTGGTCTCCATAGTTGTCTGTTTCCTTCTGGCTGTCCCACGAATATCCTGCATGCATTCCGCTTCGCCCCCCATTCGTGCTACATGCTCTGCCCATCTGATCCTACTTGACTTGATCATTCTAATTGTACTTGGAGAAGAGTATACGTTATGAAGCTCCTCATTATGCAGTTTTCTCCAACCTCCCGTCACTTCATCCCTCTTCGGTCCAAATATTCTCCGCAACAGCCTGTTCTCGAACACCCTCAGTCTATGTTCCTCACTTAATGTCAGAGACCAAGTTTCACATCCATACAGAACCACAGACAAAGTTACACTTTTGTACTTTTACATTTTATACAGCAGATGAGAAGACAAAAGGTTCTGGACCGAATGGTAGCAAGCATTACCCAAATTCAACCTCTTCTTAATTTCCTCCTTAATTAAATTTTGATTTGTTATTGTTGTTCCCAAATATTTTAACTTTGCCATATTTTCAAACGATCTGTTAGCTGTCTTCATGTCATGATTCTGCCCTGCATTCTGGTGACGAGACAGCAACATATACTTAGTTCTCTCTGCATTTACTTCTGGACCAACCTCCTTACTAGCATCAATTAGATTTTCTGTGTATATTATCTCCCATTAGATTTACAACATCAGCACAGACCAGCCTCTGGTGGTCCCATTTAACGTCTGTCTTGCCTGGTTTTCCTGGACCTTTCTAATGGCATATTATAAAGCGAAGTTAAAAAGCAATGGTTATAGTACATCTCCACGCTTTAGACCAGTCTGGATAGGAAATTTCTCAGACAGTGTTTACCTATATAAACTTTATTATAGGTTTCATTTAAACACATTTTACTGAGCGTAACTAGTTCCATGGGTACCTGAAACTCTATGAGAGTATTGTACAATACTTCCCTCCTAACTGAATCATAGGCTTTCTTGAAGTCTGTGAATAGCTGATGAACTGTCTCATTGTGCTCCCATTTTTTCTTTCCTGTATCTGACAAATGAAAGAAAAATGTGATCAGTAGTTGATCTGTTATGCTCAAACTGACACTCATTATCCCCAATAATTTCATCTATATATGGACTTAACCTTGAGAGAGGCTGCACCATAGCTCAAGCAGTCAGTCGCTGGCTTCCCACCACGGCGGCCCGGATTCAATCCTGGGTCTGGTAAAGTGGGATTTGTGGTGGACAAAGTGGTGCTTGGGCAGGTTTTCTCCGAGTGCTTCGGTTTCCCCTGCCAATCTTCATTCCACCAATTGCTCCACAATCACCCTCACCTATCATCTGGGGCTGGTACACTAGGCCAGGAGTGGCCGCAGTACAAGGGACTTAGTCCGGCCCCACTAGCAATAAAAAATAACCTTGAGAGAAGGATATTGTGTGAAGTTGATAACAGTGATATCACACAAGTAATTACTACAGTCATCTCTTCCAAATAATATTTACAAATTTCTTCTTTTCCTCACAAAAACACTTCATTGTTCCGTTATAAAGACCAATTAGCCAGTACTATTTGGGGAAGAAATCACTGATTTTTTTCTAAGAATCATAGAACATGCATAAATACACATTATGTGTAAATTGTGTTGTTTTAATATTAGAGCAGATGGTCCATATTTAACCCTTTAAACCGGGGTATTATTATTAAGTTGGCCAAGGATACATTAATTTATTATTATATTAAATCTTTCTGTTAATTTTACTAAAAGCAATTTATTGTTTGCAATAATGTATATGATTATTTCTGATGAGCTTCAGAATATATTGCCCACACCTACTTGGGTCACATATGAGTACCACCGTTTTCCTTGTTAGAAAAAAAGAGCTCTGTGCAATGCTTGTATAAATCACATGACCATGTTCAAATTTCAGTGCTTTATTTTATTTAACATTGGTTTCAAGGTTTATTGTGCTGATTCCCCTGCATTTCATGTGGCCTCTCTCTCTTTCCATCTTGTATGTAACCTAGTAGTGCATCAACTATTAACATCAAACATTTCTAGAAACTGCCCTATTGTCACTAAACAACCAATCAATATAGTGTAAATGTAACGTTACAATACAAATTCTACAATAATTAATGTGACATATTTGCTGAACATTGTGTGTCTCATACTCTAATAGAAGAGCCAATCACGTGCACACAAAATACAAACCATAACACGCAAATGAAAAAAACAGAGTTGTAATACTTAGTTCTTGAAATATGTTTTGGTGTATTTTACAACTGTGAAAATTTACCATTGAACTGTAAATTTGATATTTATTTTGCGAAGCCTGTCAATGAATCATAATTAACACTCTTCTGTCAATGAATCATAGCTAACACTCTGGTATCATGGCAAAAATGATGGCTAATACAAAAGGTCACCATGACATAAATCCTGAGATAGTTTTTGAATTGAATAGTGTCATATTTCCAGAATTAATTCTGTTTTTTATATCATCCAGAACTTTTGGGACAGGATCAAAGTAACTGTAGCAATAGATCTTGAACGCTGTGTTATGTAATATATTCAACTGTGTACAATCTTTCTTTGCACTACTAGTAGAAATTAAATCTATTTCATTTTTCCTGTAGTGTACAATCATACTTCTTCCTCAGAATTCATATTCATTTGTGATGTAATAAAACCAGAACCACTGCCAGGCCCTGTACCATCTTAATCGATATGTAAATGAAGAAGCCAAATATAGAATCATTTAAGAATATTCTATGTATACCAAAGTGGATAAGTAATGTGTGTTATTGAAACAGAGTGATAAATAAAACTATTTGTAGATAATAATTATATGTGACAGATTTAAATATTTGTCGCACAGAGATACTGGGTTCTCGGACTTAGTCCATCGTCCGGATTATAAATAACAAAGTAAAAAAAAACACAACGTTTAGGAAACTGGATCTTTTTCCATCCTCAGGTGAGGGAAGACACCTATTCTGTTGGGTCCCTTAGAAAGAGCTAGCCTCAATCACTGGACTGTCTTCCCTCACCTGAGGATGGAAACAGATCCAGTTTCTGAAACGTTGTGTTTTTTACTTAGTTATTTAGAATCCGGACGATGGACAAAGTCCGAGAACCCAGTATTTCTGTGTGTTATACACCATCATCAGAACCCTATAGTATTTACTTAAATATTTGTGTTTTATTTTGGTTTTTCCATTGCACTATAGTTTGCTTGCAGACTGAAATCATGGAGTTCTTTAGTTTCCATTGCACCTTAAATCCAAACAAGTATTCTCATCCTGGAAATGAAGTCAGGGAACTTATAAGTGAAGAGAAGAAACAAAGAAGAGTGAATAAAGACTAATTCTTAAAGCAGAAACACTAGAATTATAAGAAAACTGTGTCATGTTAAGGATATAGTAGTACAGGCAGTTCTTAGACATGGATGACATTACAATTCCTCTGACAGAATTACAAATTACATTCAGAAATAGCAACTTTGGAAACCAAAAATAAGGTGGGGATATCAAGTAGGAGCTGTTATACAGAAGTGAACAGGGAAAGATGAAATAAGACTTTGTCATCCAGATAATTCACTGTAGTGGAAACATTCAATAGGTAATAATGGCTTTGGTTCCTTATATTATAAAGATCACTGCTTTTAGTCATCATCTTCCTTATTACACACAGTTTAAGTGTGTTTCCAGGCATCAGTAGTGGTCGGTTATGCTCACAGAACATAAATAATGAGGTTTTCAAATTGACATAACAAATGTTACAGATCTAAAATTACTGTACACTCCTTAAAAACTTATGCTTCATATTCTGTGTGCACTTAGCTGACATGTCCTAAAACTGACATTTTTACAATTTGTTACAATTGTATTAAATATTTATAAATTAACAATATTGTGAAAATAACTATTTCTGGAGAGTAAAAGATGACTTGTATTGTTTCATTTCTTCCACTCAAATGTTTGAATTCTATACTGAAATGAATATATTAAAATCACATATTAAATATCTTTCATACATGAATTAAATATTTCTCTACAGAAAAAAAAATGTAATATTTGTAGACACAAACCTATAAATATTATTAGTCTTCATGACAACTCCAGTAATATATTCAAATTCAGATGGCATCCATACATTGATGCTGGGACTACACTACAAAAATCTTAACTTTTTGTTCATGAATATATTTCAATTATTTGCAGAAGTGTCAAAATATGCCTTATTACTACAAGTTCATTACCTGAATTTATTCATTATTCACAAAATGAACTTACATTGTTCAAAATTAACATCCTGTTAAACTGAAACAGAAGACTTTCATGAGTTAAGAAATGTACAATACTGGTCACTTGATTCTCTCCAGTAGAAAGGCAGAGACTTTAATCCTGTGCACTGAACTTGCAGTTTTCAGTATTTAGTGTCACTATTAACTACCACATTACTGTGGTTTTCTATTACTTTATGTTAACACATTAATACTTTGGTAAGCAAATGCTAATTACTGTATCAGGTTTCTAGTCATTCTTGTTTAGATTTAGTTTAACACTGTATAATGTGACTACATTTCATTGACTTATATTTTCAAAGAAGATAAAGATTTGGGGCATGAATTATACTAAATGCTATTGTTTCATTTCAGGTCTAGTATGGCAGTTTAAAAACAAGTTTACTCCAGAGATAAAATAATTACAATTTCTTGTGACCCAATGAGGTAACATGAAGCCACCATATTGTTCAAAACACATATTTTCTGATTCTAAGTTAAAATAATAATCTTGCAGCATAGAACATGAATTTCCTAAACAGAATTATCACATATTTATGATAGAAATAATTATTACATTCAAACAATAGTCATCATACCAATTAACATTTTATCATAGCAAAAAGAAGTGTAGATAATATCAAGATCTTGGCAATGTTACTATTACTTTAAGGAAAAGTATATAATTTGGACAGACATCATGTGTCTTTTAGGAAACAAACTCAGGCTTCTCACCATGGAGTTTCAGGTTGAATCCCAGGTGACTTCATGTGATATTTGTGGTGGACAAACTGGCATTGGGGCAGATTTTTCTCCAAGTTTCTTTGGTTTTTACCTGCTTATCATCGTTCCACCATTACCCCATCCTCATCCATCACCACTTCCTGAGATGCATAATAGACAAGACCAGATTTCATCTCTGAGCCAGAATTTGGGCAATTTCAGAGCAAGGAAGATATGTTTAATGAAGAAGATAATTATAATGCAGGAAGTAATCGGAAGAATAGTTCACTGCAGAAATGAAACAGAATATTTAAGTCAATGAATCTACAGATTACTTTTAAGTACTTGTATTTCTATATTCTAAATTATATACTATCACTCCCGATCAATTCAAAATGCAACAAATGAGAGAGACTTCACTACATTCAAACACTGGCAAAATCGCTTTCAAAATTTGTTGAATGTTATGGAAATGAAAAAATACTAACATATGATTATGTTGTGAGCCATTTCATGTAGCACATGAGACACAGAGTTTGCAGAAATTCAATCCTACAATGTAACTCCATACAAGAATATAATGGACAAAATGTTTTCAATGGTTATAACCTCAGACTTAATCATAATATATTACAATCAAAGATTGTATTTTATCATTATGTTTCATATACGTTCACAATTGAAAATGACAGATATCACTGTATTAAATCAGACTTTGAAAATATACTTGCATCTTTGTTTCAGTTCTCATTTCAGAAGCTGATAACAATATGAAATCTTTAGATAACAATCTTTGGTTTATATAAAAATGTCTGTTGATCTACTCTCTTTTCCTTTGTTATCAACTTCAACTGTCTCACATCCCTTAATAAATTATATTTGTGGTCCACTTAAGGACTTCAGAACAGTTATCATAAGACTACTGCCTTCTGTGATGCAACACTAGGTACTTTAGTACATAGGTTACTCTGAAACATTGGTACTTAGCTATCAAACTGCAAAGTGTCACGTCCCAGACGACCAGAATCTTAATAATCATTGCTGTAAAAACCTTCATACAGCTATAAATGCAAAATGATAGGAACTGAATCAGATCTGAGATTAGTAGGGGAGACCCATGTAAAATGTCCCACCCAGGTAAGATGACCATTTTGTATCATTCCCACATTGGTGCTGCTCTCTAGTAAGCTAAGTGTCAACTACATGTATTGGTTTATTCAGTGCTAAAAGAGTAGACACTTACACCATGCAACATATTTTTTTTTGTGACAAAAATGGACTTTTCAACATCTCCATGTAAGTTACACCATAGTAATTTTGCAGTTTTTCATTTACAACATATTTAATACAAATGTATAAAAATGCAAGGAAAAATAAGGTGGTTAAACTGATAATGTGCATTTCCTTATCAGTCCCCTCTAACTGTCTCCCATCTCTTTAATCGAACATAAAATGGGGCACTTATTCAGGAGACCAATGCAAAATGGCCAGTTCAGAAGGTGTCAGAAAAGTTCACATTCCAGGAGAAAATTTGAACAAATTAGAAAAATATGTATCTTCTTCAAAATGTTTACAGCTGCTGGTTTGTAGTATATGACATTATAAGTATTGAGAGTTCATTAAATGATGATTCACTTTAAGTAGGTTGCTTTACATGGGTGTCCCATATATTCAAATTGTAAAGCACTCTTGCTGTAGCCTAAATCAGGGATGGTGAAACTTTTGCTGCTTGGTATCAAATTTACCCTACAGTTACAATGTGATGTTAACCATTCCCACATTTACATCATCTCTCTGCTTGAGTTAATGTGATCTCTGCTGGTACCCATACTTCGACATTTCTTCAGATATTAGCTTGTGTTTGATTTCTTTGAACTTCCAGCGTCTTACATCTGATTTCATGTATACCTCCGATAAAAATATTAGGTAATAAACAATGTCAAATAGGGAATACAACATTAAGTTCCATATTTTTTTCCTTAGTAAACATTTATTTTCTGGTTTGGACTGGAAATATAAAGTTAGAGCCAAAGTGTGTCATGAGTGTATTAAATTACTGAATTCAAATGTCCATATTCATAAAATCTGTAACAATCAGAAACAGACAAGCCTCAATTTGGTGCCAGTGATAAGCCATCCCTGATCTAGTTGAAGGAATATGTCCATTTGGAATTGTAGTGTGGACATAAGTTTCAAATAATAAGAGAGGGAAGTGAAGTTTCAGTCTCTTTTCAAAATGGCGAAAATTTCCACCACAAAGCTCATTTTGAAACAGCTTGTACATTACTGTTTATTAAATAACCCTTTCAGACCCTGTACACATAACTGCTCTGTGAAGGATAGTGTTTATTTCATGTCACACTCCAACACCCAGGGGTTTGAATTCCTTACCACAATAACATATAGGTCTCTTGATTACATAAGCAACTTTTAGTACTAGTTTCTGCCACAGGAATGCAACTGAAGGTGGATAAGAAGACAAAGTAGGAAAACAGATGTTTCAGTTTTCATAGGATTCAGGTGTTTCACTACTTTCATGTCATGTCCACATTTTATAGTTAAGGAAATAACCACTCACTTAAAAATTTACCAATTCATGAACTCTTGGGTCTGAAAGGAGATATTATTAAAGATAATTACTGTCAAATGAAAGAAGTTGCAAAACATATGTCATTGTTAATTACATACAGAACATTTTGTTCATATATAAATCTTAATTTTGTGCTTTCACAGAAACAATAACATTAAACAACAAGTAAATAAAACAAATTAATAACTAATTTCACAGCTCAATCACTCTTTCAAGACACAAAATTATACAAACACTTCCCTTGGGACGAATTGTATTTTTCCAGTAGAGTATGTAAGATCAGAGACAATTCAACAACTTGAGTATGTTGTTAAAATTGAAGACTAGCTTTTACATTCCAACAATAAAACAATTATTTAAGAATGCTAATTGTAAGACATTTCTCTGACATAATCAATACATTGCATTGAGAATCATCAATAGTGAACAGATTTACTTTTACCAGTTATATACATAATTTGTCCCACACTTCACACACTTTTAAAGTGTCCATTTCACATTGACACATAACACAGCGTTGCATATGTTTCACTTCTGTTCAAAACTGTTATCTCCATGAACTAATGACTTCGCCTTTAGTGTTGACATTGAAAGGCTATCATTGAAAGTGTTAATGACAATGATCTCAGTAACACATAAAATAGACATTTTATGTTGAATACTGTTCATGTCTGGGATTCATTTAATAAACACAATATTTCAGACACTGGTTCAGTTGTCATAATGTGTAAGGCAGAAAACCATCACTGGATGCCAGTCTGGTGCTGGAAACTATTTCCTTCTAAGGGTACCAACAGAGCAATATCCCTTCTTCTCCTATATACTGACAGAAATGGATCCAGTTTAGAAAATATTGTGTATATCAAAGATACTCCACATAATATTTGCATAATAAATCATCTCTTGCCACAAACCTTTAGACAAGCACGCATTCATAAATCATCCCCCACAAAATGTCAGAGTTTCATTTATAAACAATAATTTATAGTCACATTATGTTTTTAAAATTCTTCAATACGCAACAGCCTTTTCACATCCTTTATATTGTGACTATGAGGTGTAGCATACCTGAATATGCTGAAATAATTATTTTAAATACAAATATGAATTTTATTTAAAAAATTGCTATTATTAAATAATTTCAGAAATGTAATAATTTCTGTGTCTTTTTTTTTGTCATGTGTATATTAAACCAATACTTAATACGGATTACTGAAATATTAATTAACATCTTCTTGCCTAACCATTTCATGTCCAGCTGCAGTACCAATCATGACCTGCCATAAACCTTTCTTGCAAGTGTAGTCATATTGAATTTGCCATATTTTATAATTGCTGTGACCATACAGTTTATATATTGTATATATCTGCTCATTCTTGGGAAAGTATAACTAATTTCTATGTGTACTTTTCAATCTCTGTAATATCTAGAGGTAATAATGAATCATTACACAATATTAAATGCTCATTAACACTAGAACAAAGATGAGAACACTGGTGTTCAGACAACACATTGAAAGTAACATTTTTCATCTAATTATCTACACTAGAGTGTTCTAATAACATCAGATTTCCAAATTTGATAATGCTTTTATTGGCTGTATACATTGATGTCGACTGAATATTTGCTCAAAATTTGGGTTTGAACTGAAATATTAGTTTTGAAGAGACAACATGGAGGCTACATTCTAAAATGACTAAATGGAGGAAAAGTATGTTAAGATCTACAATAATGTATAACATGTACTAGTCTATGTGACAGATTATTTTTCTACCCTGTAAACCTTTTATCTAATTTCACATCTATACTAACAGGTCTGGAAGAATAAGCATCAAAGTATTGTTGATTATACACATGCATTTGATGAGCTCTTGGAAGTGTATGTCCTTTTGGTAGTCAATAGACAGCATTAGCGCCACTAGGATTTTTTCTGAGGAAACAGCCAGTTATAAGGGGGGGGGGAACCAGTTTCCCAGAAGGGAGCCTATTTTCAAAAGGGGCAGCCAAAAGATTTGCTTACAAACTTATATTTAAGCTGCTGAAGACAATTTTTACTAATCGCCCTAGAGTATTCAGGATAAAAGACTCGCTCGTCTAACAGTTTTTAATTTATATTATTAATATTTGGTAATTCCCTTCTTTTCTTATTTTCCTTTTAATCCATGGGGGGCAGATGCTTGGTTTGTCTTATACACTACTATGGAAATTTAACAGAAGAAATTCTGAAATGAATATTAAAGACTACCGTCTACTGAAATGTAATGCAATGTAGTTTTGTAGATAGGTACCAATGTTTTGGAGGAATGTATGTACCAAATTACAAGACATCACATTCAAGATGACCGCATTTTTAATGGAGAAAGGTTTCTTTAACTAAATAGCAGCATCAGAAAGTTCATTCAACATTTCAGCCTCACATGTACAAATGTTTCATTACGTTTCCCATATCCCTAAACGCCTGTATGCTCATGTATTTGAGGTGCTCTTGTAAGTGTTTCATAATTCATTTACTAAATGCCTCAAGATGTTCTCATACTGCACTGCTATATGCGCTGAAAACTACAAGACATGTACAATTTTAAGAATTATTCAGTTCTGTATTTCAATTACTAAAACCATTTATTTGCAGGACTTTTAACATCAACACTACGCTGTTCGCAAACAATCATATTCTTCTGGCAAAATATAAAGTTGACATATAGAAATCAGTATACAATTTGAATAGCACTGCCATGGAACTTTTCACCTGAATACATAATGAAATGACAACAAAATTATAGCTTTCAGATGAACAGAAGCAATCAGAAACAAGATATGTATTAATGGCAGAATACTGGACAAACTAATAGTCTTAATTATTTGGGATATAATCATTAATTTCTAGGCATACAAGAAAATGAATTTATAAAATACTTGTTAGACCAATATTATCTTATGGCAGTATTTATTTACCCAGCACTTTTCGTTAAGTTTCAAGATCCACTGGCTTTAACAAAATGGGAGCAATTCATTAACGCATACTTTGAGGTACGGAAGGATACGGCTGTGGGCTGCATAAAACCAACTGACAGGCCGTATGCAACTCTCACAAAGTGAACTGAGCAATCCTGGTCTAGGTCAACTAGTTGTGTCCATCACTTGCATTGATGTCACTTCATGGGAGTATGGGTTTCCCAAGAATTTGTTATAACTGGCCAGAGCTTCTGGATGCCAAAACATGTTCACGGAAAAACAGTATACAAAATGTAGTCAACTACATAAAGGTGGCGGGTAACAGGTCACAGACCTATCATATGAACTGGAAGAAAATTGACAGAAAGGTGATGGTGTTGAAATGTCTCTCAGTGCAGGTACTGTGACCTTACTCTGTCGCATCCTGACTATTTTGTTGAACCTTGGTACTGTTTGAGCTACTTGTGGAATGTCTCCGACACAAATTCTCATCATCACAGGGATGATGCTGTTCATGCTGGCTGTAAGTTTCCTGCAGTTTTGCAGACTGATCTTCTAAACTCCTCTTGAGTCCCTCGATGGTGTGGACCAACATCTGGCGCCTGAAGAGAGAGAGCTGACGCTGGCATTGTGCCTTGTCATCCAGCCGCTGTCGTTCCTCTGCCTGAGCCTCCCGTACCTTGGCCTCCACCTCCAGCCGTTCCCGTCGCAGCCTTTCCAATTTCTCCCTGAGACTATCCCCTTCAGATGTACCTAAAATGCACATTCGACACCAATATTTTCCATTCACAGTACAAATTATTTCATTCATATTTACTTGACTACTTATGAAATTTTGGGCATACGGCAGCGTAGTTGGTTAAGGTACTATGCTACAAGCCGGAAGGTCGCGGGTTCAAGTCCCGATGAGGTCATTGGATTTTTTTCAATTGACCTGATCCTTCCGGCCGCACTAGGCCCTGGGGCTTACTCGGCCTCTAACAGAAATGAGTACCAGGAATTAATTAAATAATTTTCCTGGGGAGTAAAGCGCGGCCGGCGCGTAGGGCTGACAACCTTACCGCCATCTTTGAGCCGATTGTAGAGGTAATGTGGGACCCTTAATGTCTCACAACCCTATGGGCCTTCACGGCCTGTTACAGGGATAGCTTTACTTTACTTTACTTTACTTATGAAATTTGGGGCATGCGGCAGCGTAGTTGGATGAGGCACTATGCTACAAGGAGGAAGTTTGCGGGTCCCGATGAAGACCACAAATTTCTTTTTAATTGACCTAAACCTTCCAGCGAGACTCAGCCTCTAACAGAAATGAGTACCAGGGGTCTTCCAGGGGGTAAAAGGCAGCTGGCCAGTGCTTAAAGCTGACCTGACCTCCATCTGTGAGCCTATTGTCTAGAAAACGTGGGAGCCTCGACGTCTTACAACCCTATGGGCCTTCATGGCCTGTTACACCTTCTTATTTACATCTGAAATTTAAGTGCCGGGATGGCTCAGTCGGTAAAGTGGCAGGCTCGACAACCGAGGAATGACAACTGCATCCTCACCCTTCTATCCTACACAGTATCCAGTACCCAGCCTCCTATCCAAAGGGTATTTGGGTCTCTTCCTATCAAGGTAAAGCACCCAGGAATTGAAAGCTGACTACTCACCTTCTAGAGAAGAGATTATGTTTGCCTGATACTGCCTGCCACGGGTCCCTGTGTTAATTAAGCATTAGGCCATGAAGAGCTACGAGGGAATGAATTTATGTCTCAACGAACTTTTAATCTCGGCTCTATATGGAGGTGAGTGGTAAGCTTCAAGCCTCATATAATTTACCATCGAGAAAAGCGACCCCGCTACCAACTGAATAGGAGATTGGGGGGGTCCCGAAGCCGGTCTGGATGCGGTGGAGAAGAGATATATCTTTACACCTGCTAGGAATATAATCCTGATTATCCAGTCATCTAGCCTACTGCGTTGGTTAGTTAATTATTGGAGAGGGTGGGTTTCCCCATGCACTTAGACCTGTATTGGTCCATTGTGCTTCCCTCTATGATTTCTATCAGTCTCTATATCCTACCGGTACTGGTGCTTACCATCAGTCCCTCCCAGCCAGCGAGACCGGCTCTACCAGCTGAGAGGTATCTATAATGCTTCCCCCATCTACCAGAGGTATTAGAGACTGCTGTTGGGCGGGAAACGTCCGTAATTTGGCTCAGTGACCTCCTTAGGAGATACGAGGTTCTTTTACGTTCCGTAAAGCTACGACACGGGACCCACGGCTTAAAGTCCCTCCCGGAGGACTTGTTCCCTGAATTTTTCCGCCCTTAAAAATTCGACGACCTAAGCCGGGTATTTGAACCCGCGTACTACGAGTCATGAGGTGGGAACGTTACCTCTAGACTACGCAGGCCGCTTACCCTACTGCGTGGTCATTTTACTGACTCGAGCTATCCGGTTATAGTGTATTTATGTGTTTTGTATGATTCTCAAAATGAAGATCGATTATTTCCTTAAAGAACATTAACATGTGTTTTCTGTGAGGTAGGAACTAAATTTTAAAATGTTATTTAGATAAATTTCAGGCTTCAAAATATCAACAGACGAGTGTGAGGGCCGTGACAGTCGAAAACCAATGTCACTCGCCGTGCGCACGCGGCAACTTCTTCTGCGTCTCCGTATCGCGTGTAGTCTAAACACCAGCCCTTCAGGGGTTTACGAAAGAGAAGAACCCGCGTTGTCATTTCATGTATTATTGTTTTCCTTACAAATTGCGTAACTTGAATGCATAATGACGACGTAACACCTGTTTCGTTTTTCAGACGGTTGCTGAACGATTTCAGCTACATTTGGTATTATGGGTATGAACTAAAATTTCTTGGTGGATTTGAGGTTCTCTCAGCGGTGACTATGAATACTTTCTTCTGGGATGTGACAACGTGTAGTCCAGTAGAATTTCACTAATGTTCTAGAGGAACGTACTGCTTCCATCTTCAGGGTGGGAGAGCTAGCCAAACGACCAACCAGCAAGAAGCAGGATTTCATTGTAAGATCACATCTGCTGGACTGTGATACACTGCAGTTTTGTATCAACGTTTTGGAGAACCCATTGCCTCAGCAGGTTCCCCTGAAAATTTTGTACCCATCCTCCCTGAATAGGAGGCAGCAGATTCGACAAATACAACAACAAAGGAAACGCTGTTTTCTATGTGGTTCGCATATATCCGTTGCTGGGCAAAGGATGTTAGGGGAGGGGAGGAGAGGAGAGCAGTTGGAAGCGAAGGGAAGATAAGGGAGGGGGAGAACAGAAACAGAAGGGAATGGAAGAGGACGAAAAGAGGAGAGTATAGAGGGAAGGGCAAGGAGAGAAAGATGGGAAGAGAAGATAAGAGAACAGAAGATATTCTTACCTTTATCACTGTCCTTCCTTTCAATTTCGGCTTTGATACGAAGTGATGCCTGGTGTTGGCTTTTCTCTAGTGTCTTCTGGAGACGGTCAAAGGTCGCGCTGCATGTGTACACCTTCCTCTTGACAGGCTCACTCTGTGGACAGTACCCAGGACCTCCCAACTCGTGCCCGAGGTCAATGGATCTGAACGTGACCAATGGTGGCCGTTGCTGGACAGGGGACTTGTCTGGAGATTGTTTGGGGGTGACTGAACCTTCTGTGTCCATCGAAGATGAACTGGAGGCGTGTACCAAACCTTCTGGGGCACATCCTGATCCTCTCCTTCCCAATTCACGCTGTCTTTTCTCTTCATTACAAGTCCGTGAAGGTGGAGTACATTGACCTCCCCTCATATCTTCCCCATTTCTCGTCGTACCCTGGTTTCTATCCACAATCCTATTAGGGGAATTGAACGCCTTCCTAATAAAAGCCGGTTTTTTGATTACATTGTTTTCATCTTCAGCAGACTTTTCTAAATCAAAATGTTCTTCAGTTTCGGTAATTTCATTTTCATTTTCATTTATGGATCTGTCAGATCTGCCCTTACATATACGTGGCGGTGGTGTTGGTGCATGAAAACTCAGACATTTTTCAGAATTACCCTTCATACTAACTAAAATATGCTCTGCTTCTAATATAAGTTCCTTGTATTTACGATCAGCTTCTTTATCAGCTTCTATCAGGGCTATTTCTGATGAAAATGTCGTTAAATATGAAGATGTTGGAACTGAGGTCCTGGCACCACAACTAACAGAGTAAGAACGCTTTTTCATCAAGGCATCAGCCATGCTGGGGGACATCTGTAAGTCCCTATTATTATGATTGTTATTTGCAGCTAAATGGAGTCTGTTACTTTCAGTATGTGGCCTTACTCTTGAAGGTGACAGAACTTTCTTCCTGACTTCTGTAACTTCATCATTTACAATCTTCTTTCTCATAGAAACAGGGGTATTACCAGCGCTTCTTGTTCCACTCTCACTGACACGAAACAGCATCTTTTGCATTAATATACGGTTTAAATTATATACACCTGAATTTTCAGCTTCGACGATGCTGATTTTCTCTTTAGAGTTAAATGTTACTCCGTTGTTATTTGAAGCAAGAAGAACAGATCTATTTGTTCCACCTCTAACGCTACAGCTTCTGCGCATTGAACAGCGCATCTTTTTCTTCTCGGTGGAAGATCTTGAAGATGGATTGCCACTAACTGTGCTGTTTGCTGCTGCAACTGGCTCATGATGCTTCCTATGTCTACTCCCATCTCTCGAACTTCTTCTGCTGAGTACTTCCTCGTTACTAAACTTTCTTACACTAGCTCTTCTGGAAGATGGTCCTGGGCTTCCATTTGCATTTTCATCCTTAACAAGATGGCGACGACCGCTTGAGCGTCTCATGAATGACTCACGAAATCGCATAGTTGGCTTACGTTGGAATTCTGCTCCAGAATGGGGCAGATGGTAAGTACAATGACCTTTATTAACAATTCCTTTTGCAGAACTTGAAGATTTTTCAATACCATCGTCCAGATCCACAGGACTTAGTTCTAAGTACGAGCCGTTATCAATGAAGTCTAACTCCTCATCGTCCTGAGGATCTCTTTCATCACCGCCATCCTGTCCTGCATCACAGTCTGTTTCACCATAATCTTCTTCACAGTCTGTTGGGTCACTGTCACTTAAAATATCTGTTTCTTTCTCGTATACATAACTTTCATCGTATTTTCCCAACATTTCATTTAAGGTTAGGTCATCATCAGAGAGGTCACTGCTGTTGCTGTGGGAATAGTTATTGGCCGTATTGGAAGTTGAAGATGATGAAGAAGAAGAACAAACGCTTCCACGGTGATGTTTGCCTGTAGAATCGCCACCAGAAGCATTGCTATCGCCAGGAGGTGTATGACACCACCCACGGAGATGCCTATAAAGGAAAAAATGTTTGAAATTAGACAACACAGTTGCTTTGGTTAGACCTACTTCAATCAGCTGGCAGATTGACTTACACGTCAATGATTAAGTGAGTGACTAACTGACTTACTAGCTACCCAGTTAGCTAACAAACCGATTACTTGTCTAACTAGATAGATAACTGGTTGTCTGATAAACAAAATCACCAAATAAATGACTTACTAACCAACCAACTATGTGAATGATTTAGTTATTTTAATCAGCTTCTCCAGATAAATGCCAAGCTAGTAAGCCACCATTTTCCATTTCATGCCACCGACACGAAATTGCTTCTACATTTAATACAGTGAGGTTAATTAGCTAATAAAGGAAAATATGAAACTCTGTAGCCTAAAAACACTTATCTCAGGGGAGAAAGTGAAGAAGAATTAAAAGAAGGTAGAAAAGAGGTCAGTCAGAAGAGGAAAGTGAGTTTGAAACGAATGAAAATAGAAATAAGAGGAGGCGGAACAATAAAAACAGAAGGAAATGGGCAAAGAAAAGAATGAGTAGAGGGAAAGATACTGAAGAAGGAACAGTAGAGAAAAATTTGAAGGGGCATGAGAAGATGGATGAGGGTTATAAGGAGACAAAGGAGAGCGAATAAAATAAGAAAAATAGGATGAGGAGAGGAAGAAGATGAAAACTGTGACACTGTTCAGTGGAGTAAACAAATGGTCCGTTAGTTACTTACGGACTCCTGACATTTTCCTCTGAAGTGTGACCATCATCTTTGGTCATGGCCAGTGACTGTACCAGCTTTTTCCGGGGTATCGTTACGTCACTTCCGCTTCCATAAGAAGAGGAGGACTCGCCCTGCCTTGTCTGAGTGTGTTTACATCCCGCACCCGAGGAGCAGGAGCTCAAGTTGGTGGAAGATTCACCCATTTCAGCCTGCACAGCCCTCGTTTTGAAGCCACTGCTTGAAGTTGAGCTGTTCGTGCCAATCGCGGAAGAGTTCGAAGGAGTACTGGAAGGGACCCAAGGATTGGTTCTGATACGGTTCCGTTGTCGTGGGGAAGCTGTCAGTTGGGTGATATTTTGAGGAGAGGGCGAGGAGTTGATCGTGTTACAGGGGATACGGCTGACATCGAGGGAAGTGCTGGGACCAGTTGAAGGAGGAGAAGTGTCATCGAGTTGAGCAAAACTTGTCCTGATGGATGCTGGGTGACGCCTGCTCTCATCACAAGATTCTGTCCTCCTGTGGCTGTGAGGGCGGGCCCTGCAGGGTTCCGGAGCCAGCATAATCTGAACAGAAGTTTGCGAAATAAGTAACGACGTCACACACATCCTTAAGGATGGCACTGAAAACAAGCATTTGGTTAAATAATTATATTTATTGGTACATGCGCTGCATTGTAAATTAAGTGGGTATGAACTGCTTGTTGCACAGAGTGGCTCTGAGAGCCTGTAAGTAATAGCTACAAGCATTAACCAGATTACAGGACATTTATTAAGATCAGAGATTCCCACTGCTTTCAAAAAACATCCTTTAATTATCAGAACTTCCACCTCGACCACACGATTTCCACTTATTTAATCAAGTTACAGGATTTCCACTGAAAGCACTTTGTTTTACGTAAGGCAGATCCACTTACGTACCTCTGGTTTAGACATGTGCTTAACGTGCCTTCCTTCAAAAGCTTCTGCAGAGGTTCTCGGAGTATCCATGCATGAAACTAGACTTTAAGTAAGGCAACAGGGTTTCCATCTGAGCCACTTGCCTTAGGTGTAGATGCATGCTTGATGCGCCTTCCTTCAAAAGCTTCTGCAGAGGCGCTCACTATCTCCACCTCGACCAGACATCCATTCCTGGGGTCCCTAGAAACCTCCTCCCTAACGTGGCCGTTAGCCAAGTGCCTCTGGACCTGGACAGGCATTGGGTTACAAGGGGCAGTCGGGGTAGTGGCTGCAGAGTGGAAGTAATGGGTGCCGGTGCGGATGTTGATGTAGTACTCAGGGGGGAACGAGGCGCCAGGGGAGGTGCCATCAGTCGAGTAGCCGGTGGAGTACGCTGACTCGGGTGATGACAGGTTGTTGCCCATGTAGCCGTGATGGAGGTGGTGATGTTGATGGTGGGGCGGAAGGGATATCTTCTCCATACCTTTACTGCATGAAGGAGCTCCACCCGCAGTGCAACGGTCGTCAGGGCAACCATGTCCACATCGCAACACCTGGAAATACATAAATAAAAGGTAGGGTTGCAGCTGTGTCTAAGCACCACAATTTGATGACCGTGCCGTAGTTCGGGTTTATTTTCAGGTCAGTCCAGATGAGATTTGTGGTGCATAAAGTGACACTAGGAGAGATTTCTTAAAAATTACTTCGATTTCACCGGCCAGTTCACGTTCTGTCAAATACTCCATTTCTCTCATAAACCGAGGATGCTACAGTCGGTCATTTACGGCTCAAGCATCAAGAGACTCAGTCTCACGCCACATTAGAATAGAATTAGATGACGTTGAGTTAAAGCTCCCAGGATTCTGGTCAACGAAACTAAATGGAGACCTCAGAATACAGACTTATCGGATGGGATTAATTGTTCTGGACGTTGTAGTCGTAAGGGGAGTTCGTAATGCTAACCAAAATCGAACCCCGGTTGCTCGGACACGAGACAGGGACCATACTGACTGCGTAAACGAAGCGAGCGGACAAATATACTGAATCCTCGCTTTATAACATTAAATTGCCTAACTTTGTCGGCAAGGCATTTGGGAAGAAAGTAAAGGTAATGCTGACTCACTTACGCACTAATTAAGCTGACCCTTCCTGAGAAGCCGCCAGTTGTGCAGCTACTCAAGAACTTCCCAGCAATTTATGAAACCCGAAAGTTCATTACTGTGTTCACAAGAGCCCTCCACTGGTCTCTATCCTGAGCCAGAATAAGCCAATCCCATCTCTCTAAGATCCATTTTAATATTGTACACCCACCAACGCCTTGGACTTCCCAGTGATCTCCTTCCTTCTGACTTTCTCACCAACAACCTATATGCATTCCTCTTCTCCCCCATGCGTGCTATATGCCCTACATGATAATAATTATATTTGGTGATGAGTACAATTTGTGAAGCTCCTCATTATGCAGTTTTCTCAAATGATTAAGTCAGTGAGGAGTGTAAGGGCCGCGCCATAGCTCAAGCGGTTAGTCGCTGGCTTCCCACAGCGGCAGCCCGGGTTTGATCCAGGGTCTAGTCAAGTGGGATTTGTGGTGGACAAAGTGGCGCTGGGGTAGGTTTTCTCCGAGTACTTCGGTTTCCCCTGCCAATCTTCATTCCACCAATTGCTCCACAATCACCCTCACCTATCATCTGGGGCTGGTACAATAGACCAGAAGTGGCCGCAGTACAAGGGACTTAGTCCCACACCACTAGCAATAACGTGCACTCAGTTTTGCAGCAAGAACTTCTCGTTACTGTGTGAACAGTATTCCCATTTGAAACTGTCATGGGACGGGTAGATCTCTCAGCTACATTCTCCGTCTCTCCAAGTTCCAGCTGAGACACACGGCAGGTAATCCCTAAGCATCACTGTACTCACTTAACCTGAATTATGTTACGACCTGAGAAAAGAGACTGAAGATAATCCCGCTTGACCGCCTTTCTAGCTTCGGAGAGCTTTAAATTTAGATTAATTCAGGATTCAGTCTTAAGAGAGTCAGTTCCACTGTTCGCCGAGCCGAATAATGTCTCTGGGGACTGAGTTCAGGAGCTCCAGTAGCCTCCTGTTCCACTGGGCTGCGGAACTTGAGAATACAGGTAAGATTATAATACCACTCTTTCTCCCCAAAGTAAACCCACGGTCTCCGCTAGTGTGAAGTTGTCTGATAATGTTTATTCATAGATTCAGACAGGAAAACAAGGAGTGGTACTTCCAATTGTGAAAGGTATACATAAAGACAGCCTCTGTGGTATAGTGGTCAGAGTGTCTGGCTACAGATCGTGAGGTTCCTGTTTCGACTCCTGGCGCTACCACATTTTCTGAGAAGTAGTGGGTCTGGAACGGGGTCCACTCAGCCTCGTGGGGATAATTGAGGAGCTGTTTCAAGGAAATAGCGTCTCCGGTCTAGATAACTGAGATTAATGGCCGTGGGGATTCGTTGCGCTGACCACGCGACACCCTCTATCCGCAAAAGTTGGCACTAACTTCGCCGACAAGCGGCGGTCGCTCGGTCGGTATAGTTAGCTTGCGACCTCAAGCAACGGAGTTTCTTTGTTTATACATAAACATGTCTAGGAAAAGGAAGAAAAATTAGAGAAAAATATTAAGAAGAACGTAATAAAAGAAATGGTCAATAAGGCTGGAAAAAAAGATGTAAATAAGGAAAAACGGAAATATGAAGAGAATTTAATTTATAAGCGAAGGAAGGAGAAAGACAGAGAACAAACAGAAGAAAGAGAATAGAAAGAATGAACAAATACACAAATCAATAAATAAATGGAAAAAATGAGAGGAAAAGTAAGAAATGATGGCAAAAAGAACAGAGAACTAAGGATAGAAAGAAGTATAAAGAAATAATAGGAAAAATGTAACAAAATAAAGCATGGAAATAAAGAAATTCAGTACAAAAGGAGAAAGAAAACAGAAATAGATGAAGAGAACTGAAACAAAGACAAATAGGACGAAAGAAAGGGCCCGGCACATGTCGTGATATCGGGGTGAAGCCTACGCAACCCTCACTTGGGGCTCTAGTTGAGTGACACGCCCGTACCTCCATAATACAAATTTCACACCACACCCTTCACCCCCATAAAGTCACATCGAATTAACTTACGTGTTGGTTTTTCTGAGGTTCATCCTTTTTAGCTATAAGGGGACTTGTAGGGGAATTCCCCGCGGAGTCCAACAATGGTCTTTCCGGCACGGCCTTTCCGCTTGGTTTCCCTTTGCTGCCACTCCCTTCTTTGCAGCGCTGCTGTTGTTGCTGCTGTTTCTTCCTCGGCCGCACAATGTGCGTCTCCATCCACGATCGAAACTTAATCCCAAACATTAGGCTTTGATAGATTTATAATTATGTCTATCTTTCAGAATTCAAGGAAACATTAATTTAACCCCTTTATAAAAATTCATATTTTGTTAGCTGCTCTCTGTCAAGGCCTTTCAGCACCATAATAAAAGAGGCGGCCATAACCTGATGAGCGTCATGGCGGTGTTCACGTTTTTCTATTTTTCACTCAAATATATTTCTCTCGTCATAGGATGCGTGTCTTTGGTCACAACCTGAAAGGAAGAAACAATACAAATTATTAATACCATCTGTGGTATTCTGGCCGTCAACACAAAGTCTACTTTGAAACCACAAAAACAAACGTCAACATGACAAGAAGTACACAACACACTTAAAGAGAAAAAGAACTAAGTAACGTAATATTCAAGAAGATAAAAATAAACATATGAAAACTGAAAACTAATAATATTATACGCTAACAGCACGAAAAACAAATAAACAGTGAACACAATACGCGACAGAAAACATAGAATTTTACGAAGAATGACGTCTTCTGGGATGTGGCTTCGTGTATATTTTGTACGGACCGACGTTTCCGAAGAATGTATCGCCTCCATCTTCAGGGTAGAAGATGGAGACGTAAACACTTATATATTACAAATTTACAATTATAAATAATATGGATACTTCAAATCCACTGGACACGTCCAACGGTAGGAAAACTTAGTTCTGACCCATATCCAATATCTTACACGTTCCTGAACTTATCGGGGGAATAAGAATAATTCCGTAGGGGGGATTTTGACGTCATCTTATAGGTCATGTCTCATTTGTCTGGCTGTGCACACAATCCATGTTCTAACGCTCGCCTATCTACTTCTGCCGGATTTTCCAATCTCGAAATGTCAACAGCAATAATCACTTTCCCAACCCCTTCATCATCTGCTGCGAATCCTGCATCTTTGGGCGTCTCTCTTAGCTGGGGTTTCAGCGCCACGTCCGCTTTCTATTTCGAACCTATAAGGACATTTTGTGGTCTTTAGATCCCATGAGGGAACCGTAGTTTGTACTTCTGAGGGTTTGTAAGGAAGCAGCCGAGTTAAAGCTTCTGGGATATAACACACGTACTGTTGCGTGTTGCCTAGGGAACGCAACAAATGAATTCACGCAGGTCTCTGTTTATTCAAGGGGCACGCGGTGGCGTAGTGGATAAGGCACTATGCTACAAGTCGGAAGGTCGCGGGTTCAAATACCGATGAGGGCACTGGATTTTTTTCAATTGACCTAATCCTTCCGGCCGGAGTATGGCCTTGGGGTTCACAGAAATGAGTACCAGGAATTAAATAAATAATTTTCCTGGGGAGTAAAGCGCGGCCGGCGCGTAGGGCTGACAACCTTACCGCCATCTTTGAGCCGATTGTCTAGATAATGTGGGACCCTCGACGTCTCACAGCCCTATGGGCCTTCATGGTCTGTTACAAGGACAGCTTTACTTTACTCTGTTTATTGAACGCTCACTTTTACACTGGCGAGTACACTTATTATCACTTTGAGTATCACAATTACTGCTTCTGTTATAGTCAAAGCCATACTGAAGACTGACTACTCTTCTAAGGTCAGATGCGAACTGAAATGTTCTCGGCAACTCCTAAAACTCAACTCTCTGATTGAGTCTGAGTCTCATTTTATGACCGACGGTCAGTCGGTCAGTCGGTCTTGGCATAAATTACCCATCTAGGGGTAACGTTCCCACCTCATGACTCAAGGTACGCGGGTTCAAACCCGGCGGAGGTCGTGGAATTTTTAAGGGCGGAAAAATTCAGGGAACAAGTCCTCCGGGAGGGACTTTAAGCCGTGGGTCCATGTCGTAGATTTACGGCACGTAAAAGATCCTCATGTCTCTAGGAGACCTCTGAGCAAAATTAGGCAACAAGTTTCCCGCCCAAGTAGTTTCCAATGCCTCTGGTAGATGGGGGCAATATCAGGTACCGAGGGCCGACCTCGTTGGCTGAATGGGGCTGATAGCATGCACCAGTACTGGTAGGGTATGGGGACAGTAGAAATTAAAGGGAGACGCACAATGGACCAATAACTGGTCTAAGTGCATGGGGAAACCCATCCCCTTTAATAATAGTAATAATAATAAAGTACCAATCTGGGATTTGCGACCACATCTTTATTACTGTCAGACAGTTATGGTCTTGTTTTTTTGGGGGGGGGGCGTCCTCTCTGACAAGAGGACGGATCTGACTTTTGTATATGCTGCTGGTCCTTGCCAGCGCAGTCTTTCTCGAGTCCGAGTCCTTTGGGACTCGCGAACATATTTTACTGTCTGTCTAATACATTCAACCCCCTTAAATAGGCCTTTTGAGGACCGCTAATGGAACGCCTTTCTCAACAGCCTGGTTTTCCCGTTATCATACAAGGCTTCGAACAATTCGTCGTAACCGCGGAAAGTCACTGTTAGAATTCCAATTCTGCATTCCATTTCTATGTCTAGGAAATGTTATTCGTTGACTAGCAAAGAACGCTGAAATATGCTCCATGTGCAGCACGTCAAAATACTGTCTAGTCCGTTCCAGGTGAACTGACGTTTCAGAGATACATATTACCTCCATCTTCAGGGTCAGAAAGAAGCTAAGCAAGAAACCAGCCTGAAGAAGGCAGAAAGCAGAGCCTGGCTGTGTCAATATGACGGAGTTAACGAGAGCGCCTGCTTATGCAACTTCTCCAACATGCTCGTGAGGCGGGTCACAGTAATTGATCTGGGCAGGCGTCTTTATTTACAAGAGGCGGAGGGCTCAGAGGTGTGGAGGGTTGCCTGACAAGTGGCGAAACTTGAGTAAGCTACTCTTGAAGCTATTATTCCTGGCAACTAACACAAATCTGTGAACACTTCGGCACATTAAGCTGAAAAGCGTTAAGCTGGAATTCAGGGTCTGATAGCGGCGGTTATGAGCATTGCTACCTCCTGGGATGTGACGCCACGTAGTCTGGTAGAAGGTGACAAACGTTTCAGAGGAAATTACGGCTTACATCTTCAGTGCCTATAGTAGGTCGAACATTCTGATTTTTGCTTGATTGTTATTTTGGTTTTCTTGGTTTAATTTTCGGCCACACGAGTATGGAGGTAGTATGTTATTGCGAAATGTCCGAAAACTTTTACGACAGTACGTGGGATCACATCCCAGAAGATTACAGTACTATTCACAATCATTGTTGTGAAAACCTCCAACCTGACACAATGGCTATTTTACATAAGAATTACATGAAATTCGGGCTGGGATAGCTCAGTCGGTATAAACGACAAGCTACGGGATAGACGGCACGGGTTCGGTTCCCAATAAATGCAAGAGATTTTCTCTTCTCCACAGCTTTCAGATAGGCTCTGGGGCCCACCCAACCTCCTATCCAATGTGTACCGGGGTCTCTTTTCTCGGGGGTAAAGGGGCCGGAGCGTGAAGCTGACCATTCACCTCCAGCTAGTTCCGAGGTCATGAAAACGTGGATCTATAAATCCACTCCCTCATACGCCTTCACAGCATAGGGACAACTTTACCTATTTACCTAATAACGAACACTGAGAGTAACTGACGACAGAAAGACTATTGTTGGTAGAGCCATCTAAAAGGAAAAATAATAGTACCTACAACTGCACCTACCTATTGCTGTAATCTGTCGGCGCACTGTGTTGCTGCAATCTCACACAGCACCGTAATAAATATATTATATAGGTAAAATCATCACTGCATTTAATTATGTAATTAACTACCGTCAAGAAGATGTGTGGGGGACTGGAGGTATAGCTCCACCATTTTTGACCTCGGCACTATATGGAGGTGAGTGGTCAGCTGCACGCCCCGGTCACTTTACCCCCTTGTACCATTTAATAGGAGGTTGTCGGGCCCCAGAGCTGGTCTGGATGCTGTGGAGAAGAGAAAAATATCTTTTCTGCCGGAAATCGAACCATGGTCGTCCAACCCGATGCCTAGTCACTATACGCACTGAGCTATCCCGGCTCCGTTTATGTTATATAGAGTGATAGCCTCTCATGAAGAACCCTGTCCCCATGGATATACCGCCGTGTAGTCCGCTGATAGTAAACCGATGTTTCGGAAGAACATGCCACCTCCATCTTCAGGATCGAAAAATAATCCAAGTAAGAAACAAGCATTAATCAGGTAGCCCTGACTTTATTATTCCACCCTGACATGTCCCTCCGAAACGTCCGCCGTGAGAACCTCAAAACCCTATGTAGTATCTCATGGTTGTAAGGTAAAGGTAAAGCTGTCCCTGTGCTTAACTTATTAAGCACCGCGCTATGAAGACGTATGGGGGAGTGGATGTATAGATCCACATTTTCTTGACCTCAGCACTAGCTGGAGATGAGTGGTCAGCTTCACGCCCCTGCCGCTTTACCGCCGGAGAAAGAGCCTCTGGTACACATTGTATAGGAGGTTGGGTGGACCTCAGAGCCGGTGTGGACGACGTGAGGAAGAGAGAATTCTTGACCTCTACCGGGACTTGAACTCCGAGCCCCTCGGTCGCTGTCCGTGGCCAGTCGCTATCCCCCCCCCATGGTTGTTAGTTCCATAAATAATTTTCTTCATACAATAAACTAACTGCAAAACAACGAGGAAGATGGGAGAATAAGGAAATACTGTAATGCATGTAGACCTCTGTCCCGTCGCTACGCTGTCTGAGCATATGCGCTTCGTGTTAGCTGATGCCACTGGATTGAATCTGTTTCCGGGAGCAGATCAATACGATTTCTGCCTCCCCGTCCTTCCCACAATAATACTACACAGAACTACCGCCCGGATGGTAGATGATGAAAAGCGCAGAGCCGGAACGAAAGGATGGGAGGGGAAGCTTATAAAGAACAGTCACGTGTTCTCAACTGTACGATGCTGCCGCTATACATGCCTGGGATTCCCCCATAAACTTCAACTGAAACATTCTTCAGTCTGAAATGGATTCGCGATGGTGCGTTATTAAATTGATAAATGTATTAGACATTTTTCCAGGTCTTGTTCTTGGTTACAGGTTTCATAAATGGGTTCTGTCTCCGTCACGAGGTTGAGAAGAAACCTACTTAGTTGTGACCATCAGAAAGAGTTAACCTCTATCTCAGGATCGTGTCCGAGCACAGCCATGGGGGCATCAAATCTCACAGTCTGTTGTGACATGACGGTTGAAAAAACAAAGCCGAAATAGTGGAATGTATAGATGCAACCATTGCTAGACATCTCACGCACTCTTAACCTTCGCACAGAATGGAGTTTTTTTAATGCTAGTGGGGTGGGACTAAGTCCCTTGTACTGCAGCCACTTCTGGCCTATTGTACCAGCCCCAGATGATAGGTGAGGGTAATTGTGGAACAATTGGTGGAATGAAGATTGGCAGGGGAAACCGAAGTACTTGGAGAAAACCTGCCCAAGCGTCATTTTGTCCATCACAAATCCCACTTGACCAGACCCGGGATCGAACCCGAGCCGCCGCGGTGGGAAGCCAGCGACTAACCGCTTGACCTATGGCGCGGCCCCAGAATGGAGGTTAGTAGTCAGTTTCCTCAGCCATTTAACCCCCTCCCCCGAGGAGAAAACCTAGATACCCGTGAGGATAGGAGGCTGGGTGGGCCATGGAGTAGGTCTTCGAACGCTGTAGAGAACAGATAAACCTCTTGTCTCCGCCGGGTACTGAAGCCGGATTCCTCGGCCTCAAGGTAGCAGCTGAAACACACTGAGCTACACTTTCATGTCTCTACTTTGTTCTTTCATTGTTTCTTTCTGCTTCTCCCCCTCTCCCAGTTTCCAAAGGAACGGCTTTCCAAGGCGATCACGCAGTCAATACCATCAAAGCCCTCCATTTGCATGATATAAGATTGTGTAAGCGTTCGTTTTATCCAGAACAGAATTAACGTTTCGTACTTACGGCAAAGAAGCGTCTCTAGAAGGAACAGATCTCCCTCCATACCACACTCTTCGTTTCATGTCCTCCTGCAACAAAAAGAACCGCCAACTTCAAACAACAACAGCAAGAGACGAAACAGAGACTGTCATATCACGGTAACTACCAAACAATTACTACAAAGCCAGGCTTTTCTATGTGACACTCGTATTAGTTCAAATGTCTCGCGTTTGTTGTATACGACATTACGGTAGTGCGCTCTAGTGGACAAGACGTGAGTGACGTGCAGCGCAAATTCGTGTCACTAAGCTATCGCTCTAACAGTGGAGGTCCATAGGGTTGTGAGACGTCGAGGCTCCCACATTTTCTCTAGACAATCGGCTCATAGAAGGCTGTGAGTTTGTCAGCCTTACGCGCCAGCCACCCTGTACCCCTAGGAAGATTACTGGTACTCATTTCTGTTAGAAGCTGAGTCGACCCCAGGGCCATAGTGCGGCTGGAAGGATTAGGTGAATTGAAAAATACAAGGACCTCATCGGGAGTCGAACCCGCAACCTTCCGGCATATAATATTGTGCCCCTTTCAGTCGTCAGAACAAACGGAATATGAACTATGAGGCCGCAGAAAACGGGTTCTCAAAAATTGGTTCCTTAAAGAACTTCATGCAATAAATTTCATGAAAAATATATAACAATTATGTTCATATGCTCTAGTTCAGGTACTGGGAATGTCATATTCTTCTTTCTTGATGGATTGGGCTCCCTGGTCTTTTCTATACAGAGTTGGTAGGGCTCCTTGTACGGGGGATCAGGCCTGTCGCAAGGCCGCTACTTACACACGGCAGCATAAACATCATACAGACATCCATGCCTCGAGTGGGATTCGAACCCATGATCACAGTGTTTGTGAGAGCAGAGATATTTCACGCCTTAGGCCGCACGACCACTGTGATCGGCCGAAATGATCATATAAATATTTTTAAAAATCGGTGATCTATTTCGGTACATAACAAGCAACGTTGAATTTTCCAAGTATGACTTAATGAACAGTACAACTGTCGCATTTCTATTTTCTAACACATGAAAAATAGACCCGTACGGTGAATTGTGAAAATTTGAAACATACTCCGTGCCACGAACTTACAGCATCTCTATGAAACTTCCGGTCACGGTGCCCTCGTGGTCTAAGGCATGAACTGTTTTCCCACACTCGAACAGTGGGGTCGTGGGTTCGAATCCCACTCAAAGCATGGATGTGTGTATGTGTTTATTCTGTGTTTGTGTTGTCCTGTGTATATGTATAGGCCTTGCGACGAGCTGATCACTCATCTGAGGAGTCCTATAGTCTGTAAAATTATCAAAATAAAAAAAAACTCGACTCCGGAAGGTATAACAGAAACGGAATAAGTAAGTTAATTAGTTATTTCGTACAGTGAGTTAGTAAATCAGTCAATTAGTTGTTTTATTAGTTAATTAGTTCGATATTTCGTAGTCCAATGAGTTGGCAAATCAATCAGTAAATGAATTATTTAGTCAGCTAATTTGCTAGTAATTTTGTGGTAGAGCGAGTTAGTAAATCATTCAGTTCGTTAGATGCCTAGTTGTAGCAGTGAAACAATCTTCGCCAAGCCAGAGAGCTCCAACAGTACGCAATCACTGCTCTGTGAGCCTGTCACCTGGCATCTCGAAGCGTGTCCCTCGCTTATCGCATTAATCATTGACTCACTTCACATCAAGGAGCTGGCAGCGCACTGACAATTAGACTTCTGTTGCTCTCGCGATAAATGATTCAGAAGAATTAGAAGCTAATGCTGAAATGGAAGGTGGCAGTCACAGGAAAGAACTTAGAAGGGCGTTCGAGTGATCTGGCGGAACAATAAAGCATAGACTAGCAGAAGAGTTTGAAAAATATATAACATGAGAGAAGAAATCAAAATGAAGGCCGGAAAAAATAACTGGACAAGTATAAGTTCATATCCTCGTTAAATGCAACGGTAAAAAAGTAAAGCTATCCCTGTAACAGACCGTGGAGGCCCACAGGGTTGTGAGACATCGAGGCTCCCATATTTACTAGACAATCGGCTCACAGATGGCGGTGAAGTTGTCAGCCTTACGCGCCGGCCGCCCTTTACCACCAAGAACATTCCTGGCACTCATTTCTGTTAGAGGCTGAGTCGACCCCAGGGCGTAGTACGGCTGGAAGGATTAGGTAAATTGAAAAAATCCGATGATCTCACCGAAAATCGAACCCCTGACATTCCAATTCTTAGCACAGTGCCTCAAGAAACTACGCTACCGCGTGCCCCGAACGTAATCATTAAGTATCTGAAAGTTTACCGACGTTTCGGAAGAACGTACTGTCTCCATCTTCAGGGTTGAAGAATTAACTAAGAAGAAGGTAGTACAGGGGAGCGCTACATTCCTCGGAAACTTAAGTAATCTTCTACAGGACCACACGGTGTCATATACAAGTTCATAGTATTTTTCGTATTCAACGCCGTAAGAACTTAAACATCTCACAATTTTGTCTCAGTTGCCGCACGCTCTGAAATCCAAATCAGCAGACGCCCATTCACCAATAACTTCCTTTTCCGGATCATTTAACTACGCTTTCAGTTGCGGGAGTATATAGCGTCGGATTGATAAATACTGGGAAGGAAACGATTTTTGCATTTCCTTGGAAGGACTGAGGAAAAACAAGATAAAGCTCGGTCAGGAGGGTCCGTGTCCAGACCGAGATTCAAACCCAGCACCTCCTTGACCTAGAATGTCACCTCAGCACCAAGCCTGTCCGGTAAAACCGAATTTAATTAGCTGTTGCCCTGCGCTGCACTGCGCTGCCCTGTTTTTCCCAGTTAAATAGCAGCGCCGTGTCCAACAACGGAGCATGAAGGCACTCTAGCGGCAGTAACAGAAACCCTGAAGGAAGCACTTCACTTAACTTCTCCCCGAGCGGCTGAGGGTGAGGAGAGTTGAATTACGTGCCACCAATTTCGAAGAAGAGAGTCAGAAAGAAGGGGGTACTACAACCATCCAGGAAATTACTCCGAGAGGAACTGCTTCTTCTTCGGGCACGCATAAAATAAACTCTCTAAGGGAACAGAAGCCGAGATCACTCCTGGAACGTGTGCAGTACTGCTGGCAACATTACTGTCAGGCGCAATGGGTAAATGCTGCTTAGCAGTCACCGTTACGTGGGGGAAGCCGGTAAGGTAAAGAGGTAAAGTTGTTACTTTTTCTTTTTAATTCTCTTAGTGTTGGGTGGAGTCCAGCTGGATCCACTCGGCACGGCGGCCACTGATGGGCCTATTGTACCTGCCCCGGGTGATTATGATGATGGAGAATTTGGGGGAATGAAGATTGGCAGGGGAAACCGAAGTAGTCGGAGAAAACCCTCCCCAGCGTTACTTTGTCCACCACAAATCCCACTTGACCAGACCCCGGATTGAACCCGGGCCGCCGCGGTGGGAAGCCAGAGACTAACCGCTTGAGCGCTGGCGCGGCCAAAGTTGTTACTTACTTACTTACTTATTCAGCTGAGCCCTTCTGGAGGAGCCGCCAATTCAGCAGCTACAAGAATTTCCCAGCATTTTATGGAACCCGAAGGTTCATTACCGTGTTCACAAGAGCCCTCCACTGGTCCTTATCCTCAGCCAGATCAATCCAATCCATACCATCCCATCCTATCCCTCTAAGACCCACTTACGCCTTGGTCTTCCCAGTGGTCTCTTTCCTTCTGGGAGGTAAAGTTGTACGTGTGCTTAATTAAGAAAACACCGCACCGTGAGACGCAATGGGGAGCGAAGGCATAACTCCACCATTCTTGACCTCGCCAATAGATGGATATGAGTGGTTAGGTTCACGCCCCGACCGCTTTACACCAAAGGAAACAGTCCCCCGGAACCAATAAGATGGGTGGGCCCCAGAACCGGTCTGGACGCTGTGGAGCAGAGAAAGATCTTACCCCTACCCCTCCGGTCTCGACCATAATGAGAAGAGAAAAATATCCTGCCCTTTCAGGGAAATCGAGCCACGGTTCCTTGGTCGTCCAGGATGTAATCCAGTCGCTATACCGACTGATAATGAACACGACAAGAAATGAAGAGTTCTATATTCTGTGATATAACACCGTGTAGTTAACTGAAAGTCAACCGACGTTTCGGTGGCACATGTCGCCTCCATCTTCAGGCCCTGCTTGCCACCTGCTTTCATGCTGGTTTCCTCTTCTACCCTGAAGATAGAGGCGACATTTTTAACGGAATACACGACGTTATATCCCAGAGGATAGACTTATTCATAACCTGCCTCTATGAGAACCCCAAATCCTACTAGATAAGAAATATACTCATGACGTCAATGTTCATACGCGTTCAAATATTTCGTCTTGATATTCTGTTCATTTCGTTTTCACAGCCCTAATGTATTTTCTGCATGTTATGCGTACAAAATTTTATTTTACTCACATTTTGTTTTGAATTTAAACATGATTTTTATTATTGTAGAAAAATTTTGTAAATACACGTGTGTGTGGTGTCATCTTTTGTTGATACCGTGAACTGCTGTTATATTAATGAGTGGGATGGCCATGGCTTCGTTTCCATGACAACCACACTGTGGTCTTGTCAGCAGAGTAGGGGACAGAGCGAAGTACTCTCAAACGCATTTGCCTTTTTCATGTGAAGTGTCCATTATTTTTGTCCGACATTAACCGAAACCAAATTAGGTCGACGGGTTTCAGTGACACCCTCCAGCATAAACTGTCACGGAAATCCACAATGTGACAGCAGAGATGTTTTACGCGGACAGACAGGAAGACAGGCGAAGCTAATAATGTAATTCTTTTAGAACAAACTTAAACATGATAAGGCAGAGGAGATAGAAATTAAACCAAAGAGCACCAGAAGAAGATGCTGAATGAAGAAGGGAGAAGAAGAAGAAGAAGAAGAAGACCTGTGATTGGGAGAAGCATAAGACTGAAGTAAAGTGCAGCGCGGTCTCAAGGAAAGACAAAGAGTGTGTCCCACCCACAGGCTAGTTGGATGTCTCGCTATGCCCACGCTGAGGGTGGGCAATGGCTGTTATTGATCCGC